TGCCCATCCAGAGTCAGTGCCGGGGCAGAAGGGGGCAGATAATGGCAGGACAATAATGGGGTGCACAAGGGCTCGGAGCAGGAAGGTACAGTGCTGGCCATCCTCTCTGGGGCATCTGTCTTCAGAGGCTGTGCTTTTAACTACTCCATTCTCTTTTCACACTCAGAGTGGGGGTAGGTTGAGGGACCGAATGAGAGAGACCGAGAGAGAGCAAGAGAAGTGTAGGGAGGGGAGAGAGACAGGAAGAGAGAGAGGTTCTCATGAGGCACGACTGCCCTGCTCTTCCAGGGCAGAGATGGACACTCTTTCTCCAAAAAGTCACTTGCTGCCACAGACAGTGGGGGGCGAACTTCATATTTAGACAATGGAATGGGAATTTCAGGTCATGCTCCCATGCCATGCAGTGATGCCCTTTTGATTTTTTTCAGCCTTAAAAAATGTCAAAAACATTCTTAGCTCAAGGCCGTAGCAAAAGAGAGGGCAACCTAGACTTAGCCTGAGACCAGTTACCCAATCCCTGTTCTAGAACTTCAGGTACAAAGATTTCTGGTGTCATCCTGCATGCCTCAGGGAGCGACAAGGGTCCCTCAAGGTTCTGTCCCCAGGAAGGTCTCAGGGGGTGGGGAGAGAGCACCATCAGAGCAGTGGGCTTGTCTTCAGCCCATGAGGTGTCCAATCAGGATCATCCATCAGGTGAGAGGAGGGTTGGGGGCCCTCACAGATCAGCCTCGATGGGGGTCGAGGTCACCCATACCTGGGCACATGTTCAAACCCAGTTTACAGCACCCATCTTCATACAACAGAATGAGATTGTTGTGTTTTGGATTTTGTTTTTTTGTTTTTGTTTTTGAGTCAGGGTCTTGCTATGTAGTTCAGGCTGGGCTCGAACTTACGGTGATATTCCTGCCTCAGCCTCCTGACTGCTGGGTACAGGCATGTGCCATCATGCCCAGCATGCAATTGTTGTGTTTTAATATGTGCCACAGTGAAACCTGAGGACCCTTTACTAGCTGGGTGCTATCATTTGAATGTGTCCCCAAAGCTCCTGAGTAGAAACTTAATGTCTATATTCATGTGTGGATGGTCCTGGAATGGAGCTCTGGGAGTTCATTGGGGTGGCTGTGGGATGGCATCAGCAGCTTTATGGGCAGAAGGGAGGCCTGAGCTGGTGCACTTGCTTGGTTTTGCCATGTGATGCCCTCTACCATGTCAGGACATAGCAGATGCTGGAACCTTGATGCTGGACTTCACAACCTCCACAACCATGAGAAATACATTTCTTTTCTTTACAAATTACACAGTTAGTGACATTCTGCTAAAATGAATTTAGACATGAGGTGACCTCTAGCAAATTAACTCTGCCTTGGTTTCCTCATCTTTAAAATGCAGAAAGCGAGAGGAGGTGAGCCAATCCTAGCACCCAGGAGGAGGCTCCCGGGCCACCATTCCACCACTCCCAGGGCAGAGGAGGTGAGCCGCACGGGCACCAGCAGCACCCCCAACCCCTTGGAAATGAAAAGACACGTAAACAAGCCTCAAAAACAGACTTCCAGATCACCTACAGCAGCCCCAAAGGGAAACAAGATGGAAACATCTGATACTCAACAACCTGGACTCCCTGAAGTGGCAATAAAAGAGGATCTGGAAAAAATAAAATCAGAAATAATTTCTCTGATAACAACAGAGATTGTGCCCATAGTGCAAGACATGATTAATAAATCTAGGGGGGACACAGATTAAAAACAAAACAGAGGAACTGAGCAACATGATGGAATCCCAACATAGGAAACAAATGGAATCCATAAAACAGATACAAACAGATTTCTAGGAGATTAAAAACTCCATTGAAAGTCTACGCAGCAGAATGAACCAATGTGAGGACAGAATTTCAGATATAGAAGATAAGATTGCAATTAGTGACCAGGAAAAGAAAAA